TACTCCTATAAAGAGTTAGTCTCCCAGTTCCTTCCCGCAGGGGCAGTTCTGCCCTGTGCTGTAGGGCTGCTTTGAGTCTGCCTCAACTCAATGACTGGGCGTTTGTTTGTGTTTTTTTTAGAGCAGGGAGCGACTTGTGTTTGCACTTATACTGCATCAATGTGCACCTGGCTCTTGGGGGTGTGTCTGATGGCCGCAGGCCCTGCCACTGCCCTTCAAGGAAGCCCAGGAGGGATCCACAAGCTCCAGTTTGAGTGTCTTTAAGGCAGTATTTGCCAACCCTTTCTCCCTATGACCCGCGCCCCAGTGGCACAACCGGCGAATGTGCTCGGCCGATGAGTGAAGGTTGTATCCACCTAGAGGCACCTTAGCAGAAAGGCCTCGTGATCTACCTCCAGAAAACCAGCCCTGGGGGGATCCCAGTGGGGACGTGGTATTGGCAGCAGCCAGAACCAACCCCACAGTATGTCGTTTGGCTTCAATACTGAGTAGGCTTTACTCCCCCCTCCGGTTGTCCCTGCAAGGATTGTAAGGCCCTGCAGGTGCACCTGTGCTTCCGCTGTAGCTTAAGACCCTCCCCGCTCCCCTAGCAGCCAGCTGGTCCCTCCACCATGTTTCAAAGTGACCTGAGAGCAAGCAGGGTCTGCTCACCCCTCCATCTGACAGTTGTCTGGCGTCTGCCCCAGGTACCTTTCACCGAAGTCACCCGCTGCTTAGTGTGATGGAGTTAGCTTGTGCCGTTACAATGGACCCGCCAGAGCAGCGGCTCTCAACCGTGGGTCACGACTCCTTTGGGGAGTCACCCGACCCTTTCACAGGGGTCGCCTAATACATCCTGCATATCAGATATTTACACGATGATACATAACAGTAGCAAAATGACAGTTAGGAAATAGCAACGAAAATAATTTCACGGTAGGGGGTCACGAGGATCCTGTATGAAAGTTGAGGAAGGTTGAGAATCCCTGGGCTAGAGCAACAAGCACCGGTGGCCTAGAGAGCACAGAGGCTGCCAGCGAGGTGCTGCTCTGCCCGAGGAGGGAGGATACAGCCGTCAGACTGCCCCTGTGAGGGCTGGCAGGCTGCATCGTTGGAAGCACCTGGGAGAAAGAAGGGGCTGTCTCCACCTGTCAAGAGTTGCAGTCTCTTAAACTCACGAGCAGC